TTCCCTACAACTCATAGCACATCTCTTGAGGGATATAATTTAGTATCTGGCTCATTTTTATAAGAAATGTTGATAGATTAAACAAAATAAATTTGTTAAATTATTATTTCTGTCACTGCTCAAATTCTTCACTTCACCTCGTGTACTATTTGAGCGTTGCCATCTGGTACCCTTCCCGTGTGATCCGGGAGTGGGTTGTGATGGGTTTGATCTCCGCCTGAGCTCGGTGTCCTGATGCCACGGCCTGGATGTGGCTGCCTGGAGGCAGGGTGCCCTGTGGGCATCAGAGCCCAGGGCAGTCGCGTGACAGCCATTTCCCGCTCCTTCCGCTTCTGTTCCCCCTCCCCAGCTATGCCATAGCCGACAACGCTTACCGCATGATGTGCTCGGAGCTGACCAACCACCTCATCCTCATTTCTGGGGAGAGCGGGGCAGGGAAAACGGAGGCCTCCAAGAAGATCCTGCAGTATTTCGCCATGACCTGCCCCATGACCGACTCGCTAGAAATCGCCCGGGACCGACTGCTGCTCTCCAACCCGGTGCTGGAGGTAAGTAACCGCGGAGGCCCGATCAAGGCGAGTTCCGAGTTCTCCTTAAGTAAGAAGAATCCCCAGAGTGGGTCAGTGAAAACGGGAAGGTCACAGTCTGGGAGTTAAGAAGAGGGTGTCGGAGGGTATTGAGGTTAAGGGCATGACCTTGAAGTCCAGCGGGCGGGATGGTAATCCCAGGGCAGCCACGCACTGGCAAGCTTCAGAAAGTCATTTCATGTCCTGGGCCCCATTTTCCCATCTGTGTAATGGGTCTACTCATAGTACTTACCTCTTGAGAGGTTTTGAGGATTAAATGAGACGAGTGCATCAGAAGCACACTGCAAAACCAAGGAGCATGAAAATAATGCTCGAGTATTTATTTACATTTTTATTAATTAAAATCATTTGGACGGTTATGTCTGCTCTTGCAATTCACTGACTTGCTGGATAACTTTGAACAAGTTATTTTCTCCTGTGTTTTTGCTGCCCTTTGTGTAAAAGATGTTGGAAGAGTTTTCCCAGTGGGCCTTTGGGCTGAATAATGTATCTTTAGGACATAAGAAGAAGGGGTCTGGTTATGGGGGCCATGCACTGTTCCTTCTAGAACAGCAAGGGCCGAGGGTCCTATATTACACCTCTCCTGAGGCCATTTCTAATCCATTCCTGGATTGGATTCCAGGGAGGAGATACATTTTCCCCCTTTTTCTGTTTAGGTCCAACCCTAGTAGTTGGCGTCCAATCCTCTGTAGTTAGCGGTTCCTTAGGAGACAGAGTACAGCTTTCACCCCTGGCTCCCCCTCCGTCCTGTTCTCATAACATGCATGTCCTTTGGGCTCAGGAGCTGGATGCGTGTAGTGAGCTCAGAGGACGGTGAGTGGCAGTTTGGCTCAGCGCTCCCCTCTCCCCACTTTGTATCCCAAGGCCTTTGGAAATGCCAAAACGCTCCGGAATGACAACTCCAGCAGATTTGGGAAATACATGGACATACAGTTTGACTTTAAGGTACACTCCAGTTCCCATTACTGTTCCCGGGGACCCCTTCACTCACCAGCGACGGAAACCCACCCCAAGGCACCTTAAGGAAGGAGGGGCACTTATTGGCTCAAACAGCTGAGAACTCCAGGATTTGCACTTGTTTTAGGAAATGCAAACAAAGACCACAGTGAGAGACCATCTAGATCAGTGGTTCTCAACCTTGGCTGCACAGTAGAATCACCTGGAAATCTTTGTAAAATTCCTGATTTCTGGGCCTCATCCTCCGGAAATTCTGTTTCTTTGTTACCCATGTTGTGGCCCCACCCCATAACAAAGAAACAGAATTTCCGGAGGATGAGGCCCAAAAATCAGGATTTTAAAAAGATTCCCAGGTGATTCTAATGTGCAGCCAAGGTTGAGAACCACTGATCTAGATGGTGGAAATGAAGTCTGATAATTCCAGGTGTTGGCAAAGATGTGGATCATTAACGGGTGGAGTGGGGGTATGTTAGTGTAACCCATTTGGAAAACGATATACAGGTGGGGCGAAAGTAGGTTTACAGTTGTGCATATGGAAAATAATACAATAATCTCTCTATATAAAAGCCTAAGTGACCATTACAACCAGTCGACTGGTTGCTCTGACGCGTACTGACCACCAGGGGGCAGATGCTCAATGCAGGAGCTGCCCCCTGTTGGTCAGTGTGCTCCCATAGCCAACTTCCCATGGTCCCTACACCCCCACCCCAACCCCCACCCCCGTTCCCTGGACTTGGTGAGATGGCCCCCATTGGCCCTGATTGCTGGCCAGGCAGAGGGACCCCCACCTATGCACGAATTAGTGCACTGGGCCTCGAGTCAGTTTGGCTCAATAATACAAGAACAAACTCTGTTTTGCATACTCACAGCTGTTAACCTTCTCTCACCCCACCCTGTATTATCTCGTGAGGTTGGATCTAAGGTGGAGACAGTCCACTCCTGGAGGTAGTCCTGCAGGTGTGCAAGCACACCCACAGAGCACTGTACGTGAGGGGACCAGCCCACATCTGGGGAGGGTCCGTGTACAGGAGAGTGGCTGGTGCAGTTGGGCGGGGGGGTGTTCACACAATGAGGGGCTGGATGGCAGTGGGAGCAATAAGAAGCCTGACACAAAAATGGAATTATATTTTGGGTCTGGCTTCTTTCAGCCAACATTCTATCCGTTCAGTTCAGTCATGCGGCTGCATGTGGCGGTGGTTCGTTTTTCGGTTGTGTGACCTGGTCACCATTTATCTGTTCTTGATGGACACTTGGGGCTATTGCAGACTGTGCTCTGAACATCCATGCACATGTCTCTCAGTAGACACAAGCGTTCATTGATGTTGGGCCTGTCCCCGGAAGTGGTACATGTGCGATAATGATTGACACTTCCCGCTGCTCCCCGCCCCGGCCAACGTGTGGGATGTTGGTCCTTGCGGGTTTAGGCATTCTGGTGCGGTTAGTGCTTTCTCACTGTAACTTACGTTTGTATCTTCCTGATTATTCATGAAGTCTTGGTCATTGTTGAAGCCTTTTGCCCATTTTTAATCG